AGTCGAGCGTAACTTGAAAAAGAGGAGAAGGGGGGGGTAACTGTAGCCACCATTAAATTTTCCGCTAAAAATGCTTTTGCATTTCGATATCGCATCATATAAAAATAAACCAATGAACTGAAAATATTCTGCTTAGGCAAGCACATAAAACTCTTTAAGTGTTCATAAACAAATCTCGGATAGAACATCAAAATTAATTATCTCTGCAAAATATTGCTGTTATTGCGCATACGTGCGCCGTAATTCTTCCCTACGTGATATTAAGCAATCAGAATCAACATTTCCGGTATTGGAGAATAAAGAACAAATAACTGGGGTGTTTCATTCTAATTTTCACAGAGCATTAAATTTCCTGAACAGATCATTCTTCGCTTGGGTGGTAGACGCAGAACTTTAGTCCTATTCAATCCAGATTGGAAAGTGACCAAAAAAAAAGTCGTTGCTTGTTTTTGCAGTGAACTGTAAAGTTTCAATATCGAGATTTTGTGGAGAAAAGGGGAGAAACTCCAATCTTCTACTGCATAATGTATTGGAAAAAAAAAAAAAAAAAAAAAAAAATTATTTTGACTACTCAATTACTTTCCTTTATAAGCATCGAATATTATTTTAGAAAGTTAATATGTGTTAAAACACAACCATTTTGAAAATTTCTATACTTCAGCAGTTCTGCAACTACGTTATTATAAACATTCAACATTTTGCTCATATTAGAATAACGATCATAATAAACACGAATATAACTGACCAAGCGGCTGAGAATGCAAATTATTAAGATCTTGATAGAAATTCAAACGTTGTAGTATTTGGGTGGAGGAAAAGAATGCCGAATGTACCGGAATTTTCTCTTTCGCATTTCTTTTGACCAATAGAACGACGGGCCCTGTCTGTACTCTCGTGACACCAAAGGTTATGTTAAGCAGAGAAAGAGGAAAAGCTACTCCGGGAGTATGAATCACCAATGACATTCCATATTAGGAAAAGTGTTTTATTTGTTTCGGCTTGGACCGGGAAAAACAGCGCGTTCATTTAAAAAAAAAAAAAAAGCACTAAAAATAAAAAATAAGGGCTTAAAGAAAAGTAACACCTATAAGGGCCTTTATATTTTATTTTCAAATATAAGGACTTATAAGCACTTATAAGGAACGCTACGAACCCTGTCCCATATGTCGCAGACCACCTGTACATCCGCTGTACATGGCTGACTCGTGGCTTCTGTTTCTTATTCGCTCTCGCATTTTTTGGTCCAATTAAACGGAATTTTGGTCCAAATAAGCGAATAATATTAGGCTTATGTACATAGGATTTGTTTTGGTTCTTTAGAATTTGGTCTGAAAAAGCGGCTTGTCCGATTATCCGGTGGTCCAATTAACCAGATTTGACTGTACTTGCACATAGAGAAATGCATGCAAAATTCCTATGCCTAAATTAAATTGAAGAAGATGGATGCAAAATTAAATCAGTAAGAATTTAGATCAGCTTTACTGAATAGAGTGAACTGGAGTTCAATAAAAATCAAATAGAAGAATTTATTATTTTTGAAAAGAACAAACTAATGATAACGAAGAAACATCAGGAATAACAAATAAAGAACAGAGAAAATAACAGTACAAATCTTTGGTGAATAACAATATAACAGATCAGAAATCTGAAGAAACTTTACCATCAAACCTATCAGAAATACAATCATCCAAGTCCTTCTCAAATAACTGAAGAGCCTGGAAATGACATTTATGAAACATTACAGAGAAAAAACAAATGACAGCCACAAAGAGCACCAGAATTTTTTTTAATGTACTATACAATAAAAATGAAGAATTACTAAGTCATGTGATGAAGCTGTGAAATTTACTGAAAGTCAGTTTAGGCTACATGAAATGATAGAACAACTAAGTTCAGTGGAGGCTAATGAAGTTTGGGAGTTAGATGAATGATCAATGGATAAAAAGGTTATTAAAAGCCATTAGATATACAGGGTGATTCATAAAGAAGTATACAGTTTCAATGCACTATAAATCAAAAACGGAAGATATTAGATATTACCTGTAACAAAGTTATACAGGATTATTTTTTGTTAGAGACAGTCACAGTTGTTCTATGTGTGAACCCTTAATCACACGACACACATCAAGAGGGTAATCCATTTCCACCCAAACATGTTATACAGTCAAAAGTCGTTAATCCAGACACCCATAATCCGGAATGATCTACGTCATGGCGCGCAATGAACTGGAAGTTGATTTGTCAGCACTATCCTTATCTTCAGGGCAGATGTTTTTATTTTATTTGGCTTATAATTCCTTACTAAATGTAGTATTTCATCTCGTGTACTCGTCTTTGATAGGATATGTTTAAATCAAATTCTCGTCATTATAAATAACGAATTCAAATCAAATAAGTTTTCCGGTTTGCAATTTTCTAATTCGACTATGCGTAAGTATGCTTTATGCATGCCGTTTAAAAAGAAATTTAATAACGTAAACAAATAAATATTAAGCTTTTTTTTGTAAATTTTGATTTACCCTTTAGATCATAATTGCTCTTTATTTCATAAATTACGGTTTCATATTTTTAATTTTATAATTTCTGCATGCCATCTTACCAGATTTAAGCTGATGATCTATAATCCGGAAAAAATCGATAATCCGGAATCGTCGAAGTCCCGACAAGTCCGGATTAAAGAATTGGTCATCCAGGACTTTTCAACAAACAGTCCATAGTTTTAAAATTTTTCATGCCACTGATTGATAGATTTTCTGTTTGGAGGTTCTTTTCTGAATTGTGATTGAAAATGCTGTCGCACAGCAGCTGCAGATTTTATTTGGCTAAATACAAGAACACAAAAAGCCTTCTCCACTGCAGACTGCCATTTTGACTGACTAGTCACATGACATGCACTCTGTTGCCTATACCACTTCTGTCAGAGACAAGACACAAACTTTAAGAGTACATCTACCTAAGGGGTTTGCTCAAGTGGTGCATGTCTTTGACTGTTATTGTTTTCCAGCACCTAGAAAGTATATACTTATGAATCAGCCTGTATTAGAAAATGGAAAAGGATAATTTAGAAGAAAAGTTACAAAACAAGTCTTACAGCAAATGGATTACACCAAAGAAAAGAGGAAAATTATGAACACAGATTAGAAATTAGACTTGTAATCTTTAAAAAATTATTATTGATTGCAATTACAAAAAATACATATTTAAAATGGACACTTACATAAACCAATTTACCACCTAGTTTTAGCTCAGATTCAAGACAATTGTGAAGAAAAGTATATATATTGTGAAGAAAAGTAGATACATGGATTACCGCAATCAGAAAGATGCTGATATAAAGAATTATGACAAGTTCTTAGAAAAAAAAAATTTAACAAGATTAAAATCAGATACATGCACTTATATGTACAAAGATATGCACAAATATTTTATCTTAGCAATATATGTAAATGACTTAATGGTTATTTGAAATTTAAATTTTCAAAAAGATAACATCATCTCTCCATTTCACTTTGTGAGAGAAGCCAATAAAGTGCATATTTTTTGGGAACTGGCAACATCTAGAAAACTTATTACACATAAAGAAATCTAAAAATAAAAAATTTGAAAAGCTTTGAAATGAATGAATAAATTTGTCAAGACTCCATGAATACTGGGTGACAATCTTGATGACGTATTGACTTCTAGACACTAATATCAAAAACTAAATATCGGGAAACATTAGTTTCATCAACATACTTAGCAACAGGCATAACGCCAGACTTAGTTTTCTCTGCTTGTAATTGTCCCAAAGTAATAAAGACCCTACACATAAACACTAGAAAACAGTGAAGAAACTATTTAGATACATTAAAGAAACACAAAATGCATGCTTATATACTCCAGACAATGGAAAATTAAATGCTACTTCAGGTACAAACTGATGTAATTCAAGCTTCAGATGCATACATAATGGAAAATAATTTGGAGGTTATTTTATGCTGAACTTCTGACATTCTGATAATATGCTCATGAACTTAAATAATACCTCAATTTATGTGAAGAATTAAAACAAGATGATCTAATTGACAAACGTACAGAAATTAAAACTGACTGCCAAGCTTTACAGCTTAGATAAAAGCTAAAAAAGTATAGTGCCTCAAGGTTTATTAAATGACAATATTTCTTTGTAAAATATGAATATGAATTGAAACAGATTATTTCTTAATTTGCGTGTTCTAAAAATCAAGAAGCGGCTATCTTACCCAAGTAACTGCTGTAAAATTGAAAGGTTAACTCTTAAAATGTCGACACAACTGATTAAAATTAATAGAACTGATAGTATATTTTTTATAAAAAGACTAATTTAAGTAGTTCTCAATATATGGAAACACTGATGTTATTTACTTATAAAAAATTAATTTCTGGGATCTAGCATTCATTTAGAAATTTTATTTGTTTTAGATAAACATTTCTTAATAAAGTTGTTTATAAGTGTTTCTTTTTAATGTTTAGTTTAGAAATATTTGATATTCAAAATACAAAATTTTAGACAGCATCAACATACATACATCAAAAGATTTAAATGTCAAAATATGGCATAATGTAAGTTTTAGTGTGTTACAGGAAAGATGTGAATAATAATTTTCCAATACCTAGATCAAGATATGGATCAGCCTAGTTTTGCTTTGCTAGAAAATTAGCAACATGCAGTTAGCAAAATTTGATCAAAATATTTTAGTTTTGATTAAATTCAGTTCACATTGCAAATATTTTCAAGAAATGTGGCTGCTGTGAACATCTGAAATGCAGCAGTTAGTAAAAGCTCCCACTTAAATCTGACTTAATAAAGTTCCAGAAATATAATTTGATAGTCAAACTTATATTTTAAAAGAACAAAATAAGGACAAAACTTGAAAAGAAATATAACAACTCCAATAATACATGCGAAATAATAAAAAAAAATCATTAAAAAGGAAACCAGATTTTACAAAAAAAGCACAGAACTATTAAGAAGTCATACGTCTTACTCGCCCATATATCCTTTTGATGCAGACATAAAAGAAGCTAATTCCATATTTTTGTAAGGCTCTCCCATCTCGGTTAGAATTTTTTTGAAAGAGTGAAACTTCATACCTTCAGCATAAATGTTGTCTTGGTACACCTACATAATAAAATGTTTTAACCATTTACACGTAAATTATACTGCAATACAATATGAAATTCAAAATAAAGCTTTACTTTTCTCATTAAAACTTAATACATAAAGCCTTAAAACTCCATAAAGTGAAAATCAAATATTTCTCATAAAAACATCTTTCAAATCACTTCGAATATCTCAAATTTACTGAAGAATATGGCTGCACACACCTTATTTTTTTCATCTGGCACTACCTTATTTTTTTCATCTGGCAAACCAAAATCACCCATAAGAAGTTACTTGAATGTATCATTTCATATGCGGTCATCAACAGTTAGCCATGAAAGTTTATTACTTCCTGCATGTTTCCATATTTAATTTTCAGTCTTTAAATAGTGCACAATAAGATATTTTTTACAAAAATTAATTTAAGGGGTATTTAAAAATAATTGGAATTATTTTTAAGTATTACATTATACTTTTAACATATAATTTCAATCATCTTTTAAAGTGTTATCCATCATCATTGACATCAACATTTTACAAATTGATGAATACATGGGAAAATAGTTCTGAAATTTTTTTACATGGGATATTATTCAATACACACTACATATTTTCTTGCACCTCACGCATATCATTAATTTCTTTTTTTTTTTAATCTACTGTATTGTCTTTTCAGGACTTTCTTCATCTATAGGAAAACAGAAAAAAAAAAAAAAAAAAATCGCACTGAGCGCCCCCCCCCCAAAAAAAAGGATTCAGTGAAAAGTATAAAAGAAATTAAGTATATTGTTATTCTTCAAAAACTCTTAGATAAAAAGAGTTTCTTCAGAAATCTGGTCAATGGTCTCTCAACAATCTTCATTAATAGCTAGCTTACAGTACTTCATCAATGTTTTCTTTATTTCTCTTCATCAGAAGATATCCTAAATCATAGCATATTAATTTAACATGTACTTCACTTTTTAATCAGAAAAAGCACTCATACACTTGTGATTTACTTATCTTCTCATTACTACATCATCTTTAAAGATTTGCTAAAATGATAAAAAGTTGCTGCAAGCAGGAATGCATGCAAGCAATAGATCATCCATGATGAATCTGTCTATGCAAACTGATATCATATGGCATAAAGGTCAGGAAATCTTAAGCTAATAAGGTCTAATGGCACCACCCATAATTCCAAAATGATCACAGGCAGTGTTGCCATTCGTTACTTTAAAGTATTCCTACATATACAATATAATTGATAATCATCCATAAATTTTCTAAAATAATCACTTTTGACAGATAACAAACATTTACAGTTAAATAAACATTACTTTTGACAGATAATAAACATTTCTTCTGAAGAAAAAAAAAAAAAAAAAAAAAGATTTCACTAGAAATGTGACGATCATTAAGAAAAGAAAGGAGTATACACAATACTAATAAAATGGAAAGCACAGTGGGAAGAATTTCATACTTCACTATGCAAAAACAACCACTGTACCTAAATAGAATTGTAAACAGTAATATTTCTACAGCATAAGTAACACTGATTAATACATGTCTATATATAGCATTGAACTAATGTACATGACTATGAGTTACTCAGTATGATCATTACATATAATCATGATTAAACAGTTACTGTGCCTTGTGTTATGGATTTCTTCAGTAAAAGTCAAAATAAGTTTAAAGATATATTGTAAACCTGAAATTATTAGTCCAAAGGGGCTTTGTCCCTGAAGGACTATTGTTTTCGTTTTGCGATTTTGCGTCGGACTCATAAACGTCGGTTCACTTTTCAAACTGTTGCCACAAAATGTTAGAGTCCTGCATTATATTTGAAGAAATTAATAATGAAAAATCTGCATAAATGATTGTCTATTTCTCACATTGTGATAAAACAATGGTACATAGAGCCATCGAACTTTGAATGACGAAATCCTACTGCGAATATGAGCATCTGAAATCCCAAATTTGGAATTTGTTTTATTATAGATTTTATATTTTGTAAAACTTTAACGAATTTTTGATTTACAAACTCAATGCTTTAAAAGCGAGAAATGGCAACGTTATATAGAAAAAAAATACTTTTATATCCAGATTGCGAGACTGTGTATATCGGAAATTCTAAAGATATGCTTAATTTAACATTATTTTGCAATATTGCTCTTGAACTGAATTTTATGGTTTAAGTGCAAAGAACATGATATTTAATAAATAAAGGTAACACTCAAAACGTTAAAAAAAAGCCCCTTTGGACGTAATTTAAAATCTGAAACATTTCAGATTTTTTTTTTTTTATTTTTTTTTTTTTTTTTTTAATTTTTAATTATTACAGAATAAGATGGAATAGATCTGCATTTGATGCAAGAGAACAAGCACTGGTGAATAAACATGGAAATGCCTTTCTAACAGTACTGCATTCATGCAGTTCTATTGTGTGCACACTAAGGAAAAAAGTTATTATATATTACAAATCATATATTATTACAGTAATATATCATTTGCCCACATAGTATACATATTATTCTTGCATTAAAAACCTAGTCAATATGGCCATTGATAAATAATGATGCAAAGAATAATTATACCTCATCAGCCATAAGAAATAATCTTTCTTCATATGCAAATTTGATAATTTCTTCTATATTTTCTCTGGTAAGAACTGAACCTGAAAAAATAATAAACATTTTCATTCTAAAAACTGTTAATTATTAATGTAATTGCAATGTTAAATGAGAAAACAGATATTTTGGAATTGCATCTATCATATACTTAAAATAAATAAAAATGCAAACTGAAAGAATAAAAATTAATATCCATATATATATATATATATACCAGTTGGATTTCCAGGATTGATGACAACTAAAGCTCTAGGCTGACACTCCTTCCTTGACTCTGTAATGGCACGTTTCAACTCTTTAATATCTAAAGCCCAAGCATTCTCTTCATCGAGATAATAACTTACCTATCAAAGATTGAAAAGAAAATATTATCTATTACATTTTTAAAGTTCAACTAAAAACAATGATCCAAAATACAAAAACTCTGTTACTTTAAAGTCATATTGGCCAACTGTTCATTTACGATCATAACATGTGTAGTCATCACTGCACACAGAAGATTGAGGAATTTTTAGCAATTTTGAGGACTTGACCATTTTTCACAACAGTTATTACTATGGATATGAGACAAATCAAGATGAATGAAATCCCTCTGATGGGCCTGTTTTCTAAGTAACAAGTTAGTTGAAATGCAATGAAAAAAATGGATAAAGCAATGAGCTTTGCAAAATGAGTTGTATTACTAGCCTTGCTGATACTTATTAGCTATGTGGCATTCATCAATATACTACAAACAATCTACTTGCACCTTTTGGTCTTAATAATCTGCTCCTCCCTTCTTCAAAGGATATTTTTGACAGTTTCTTTCAAAATGGCATCAGATTGCTTTTCTCTGAATTTTTATCTGTCTTTATTTTAATTCTAATAAATAAAGAAAGCAAATGAAAATAGTACCATATTAAACAAGCTGTATTACCATTCCATTATTTTGCTGATCCTTAAATGTATTCCACAATTTGCATGTGAAGGCCAATCTTGAAATTGAAGTTTCCAATATGCATCAAGTGAGAATAGATTGCAATAATGCCAAATTTAACGGCCCAAATATGCCTTGTATTTTTGCTTCATGGCAGTACCTGACTTGGGTTTGATTCCAGGTGAACGGGCTGGTTGCATGGGCGGTTTCATGGTTATCATAGCGTGTATATGACTCAGTTTCCCTAAGAAAGTCATCCACGAAGGCATCCCTCCCTTTAGGTAGATAGCCCTCGAGTGCTTTGTCATAATCTACCAAACCACACCATAAATACCAATACCAACGATTTTACTACTCATACTCAGATTCTGAAGAAAAGAACAAAATTTTCATTGCACTGATATTCCTTAGAAATATACCTTACAGAAACAGCCAGATACTGTAAATTATTGATTCAGTAATTTTTCAGCTTTGGATTGCTTCTTCAAAATTAAGCTAAAACATCAAAAATCTGTTATTTTCATATGTACACAAGATTAATTAAGTGAATGTACAGTGTCATGTACACTTTATTTGATAACAGTAACATCTCATGCAGGTTTATCAATGAAACTAACACATTTGCATGTGCTAAATGAGTATCGCAAAATCATTGGTAAATATAGAATTCAGTAACCCCGGTAGGTCTTAGAATGTACTTTCTGGGAATAGGAAGGCAGTACTATATGGAATGGAAACTGCATTTCTCTTCTGCCTATTAGGCTGAAGTATCAGAATTCTTTACTTTCATATATATAAGAGAATATATCATAGTGCATAGTATGTTTTATACTACTTTATTTAATATATGGTATAATTTGTAACATGGTTTATATAGTAATGTACATAATGTAAAGTATATTTTACTTGACGTTAGTAATGTGTTATACCAGTAGTGGTCTTCAAACTGTGTTCGAAGAGTTAAATTCCAGAGTTCTGCATGTCGAAATAAAAATTTCAAAATATTCATTCTATTTGACTAGTGCTTACTAGCTAAAAAATATAAAGACATATTTAGGTATAAATTAGTTTTAAAACTAAGCATGGGGTCATCATGTGCCAAAGAAAGTGATGGGCAATGCTTTGCAAGACTAAACAGCTTTCTAACAGAAAATGAATTGAAATTAGAAGATAATGTTAAAAATTATACAATGGAGTATCTTTTAAATTCAGGAAAACTATAAAAAAAATTTCCCAGAAAAGAAAATTTTTTGAATAAAAATTATAAAAAACTGAAAAATTTGAATAAAAATTATTCAGAATAAATTTTACTAAATAAAAATTCCTTTCAAGTACTATGATAAATCAGAAAGCTTCCCAACAAAGGAAAGGAGATAACTTATTGGCATATCAACAGATCCAACGTTCAAATCCAAATTTTCAATCGGACTTGTGCATTCATTTCATAACGAACCCGTACGAACGCAACAATTTTTTGTGTCAGGAGTGGGATTTTGAATGCCAATTACAACAATTCAGGCAATTGATGACTGCATTTGCTGCTTTCCAAGAAAAGATGGAAGGGGCCGTCTGCTCCGTTAAGGAAGAAATGAAATTGGGCCAGGAATCCGTTACGGAAGAAATGAAAGCCGTTCAAGCTGGTCAAAAAAATGAACTGCATAAAAGAAAACAAATTTGGGGCAATGAAAAACAGAATGGACATGGTTTAAAATAAAGTTGGACAAATTGAAGGAAAAGTTTCTTCGGTAAAAGAAGAAATAGAAGAGGGTTTCTTCTGTAAAATACATATAGAAAAGAGAGTTTCTGCCGTCGAACAACAAATTGATGATAGGGTTTCAGCCGTTGCAAAAGAAGTTGATACTTTAAAGAAGATCGTAGCGATGTCTGATAGTTTAAAATTTTTACCCATGCCTGCTTGTCCCTCTCTGAAGTTATCATGATGAGAAGACCTCTTGGCAAGTGTATAAAACACAATTTTCTATAGTGGCGGAAGCGAATTGATGGAATTCCCAAGCTAAGGCCTGTCACTTGCCGCTTCTCTGAAAGCAGATGCAGCAGATATCCTGCAGACTCTTCCCGAAAACCAGAGATTAGACTTCAAAGCTCTGTATGGCACGCTGGAGCTGCGCTTTGGGAAAAAGTGTTTAAAAGACTACAGCAGGCTTCAATTAAAATCTCGTCAACAGAAGCCCACCGAAACAATCCAGGAGCTCGCCACGGATGTAGAAAGGCTGTCCCATCTCGCCTTTTTGGAGTGCCCGACAGAAACAAGGGAAATCCTGTCCCTTTAATACTTCATCGACGGCATATGGGATTCTGAAATACAGAAAGCTCTGCGATTGACAGATGTTAAAGATTTGAAAAGTGTTCTGGTGTATGCCATGAAATTCGAGGCAGCCCAGCAAGCCACTCATAGAGACCGCTACCCAATCAGAACTGCTCAAGTCAGGAGCCAAGGGATCAAGTCACTGCTCATCTAGACGATTTAACTAGACAACTGAATGCTTCGAGACATTATATCGGTGACAAAAAACCAACCGTAAAGTGCTGGAACAGCGGTGCTGAAGGACAAATACGACGAAACTGCAGAACACCCCAGGGCACGGATGTTAAGATCGCTTCTAGCAAGCAGCAGGAAAGCTAGTTAGTGGCTATCTCATGGGGCAGAGGTTGCCAGATAATGAAAAGCCCCCAGTTTAATGTGCTTCTGATTTCTGCCGTGAGAGGCGGCAGTAATGAGCTTTTCATAATAGGACATATTAATGGAGTTCCCTGCAATATGACGATAGATACAGGAGCCAACGTTACCATCATTCGAAAAGATTCACTCAATAAATGGGATGCAAACTTATCTGAACGCCGCCCTGCGTTAACCTGCAGATCTGTCCGGTGAGAAGATCGACATTGGCGGAAAAGTAAACGTTAACATAATGTTTGGGAGTGCCGCTTACCATCACAGCATGTGTAGCAGAGATCATTGATCCTTGCATACTCGGATTGGACTTTCTAAGGTAATACAATTTTTCCTTGGACTCCAAAAACAACAAACTGCTTTCAGAATCTGAGAACATGACTATCCATCCTCAGAAGGGATCCTCAACTGGAAATGCTGACGCCTTGTCCGAAAGACCCAGCTCAGGAAGCTGACGGTGCTACTTTGGTAGACGGTTGCATAGATTTTTGGCACAGCGCAATTAAACGATAAAGAGAAAAATGCTGCCGATTGCATCATTAATTATTTATCATGTTTTCTCTCGTTCATCTTCTGACGTGGGTCGAACCAGTTTGACACAACATAGAATCGATACCGGTGATCATCCCCCGATAAAGCAGCATCCAAGACGTCTACCATTGGCTAAACAGGAAGAGGTGCAAACACTGTTAAAAGATATGGAAGAAGGCAATGTCATTGAGCCTTCAGCAAGTCCATGGGCATCTTCCATCGTTCTTGTCAGAAAGAAAGACGGCTCAACAAGATTTTGCGCAGACTATTGCCGGTTGAATGAAGTTACGAAGAAAGACAGTTAACCTCTTCCTAGAATTGATGACATTCTAGACACTATTTCTGGAATCAAGTGGTTCTCAACGCTTGATTTAAAGAGTGGGTATTGGCAGGTAGAAATGCACCCTGATGACCAAGAAAAGACAGCATTTACTACGGGACAAGGGCTTTGGCAATTTAAGGTGATGCCGTTTGGACTGTGTAATGCACCGGCAACATTCGAACGCCTCATTGAGACTGTTTTGAAAGGTCTTTCCTACAAAGCCTGTCTGATATAACCTGGACGACATCATCGTCGGAAAGAGTTTTGAAGAGCATCTAGAAAATCTTAGAAAGGTGCTTCAGAAACTGAAAGAAGGCAATCTGAAGCTGAGTCCCGCTAAATGCAAATTGTTCCGAAGGGAAGTGACTTGACCTGGGACATGTCATCTCTGCAGAAGGTGTGTGAGCACGGATCCTGAAAAGGTGTCAGCCTATAAATCCTGGAAAAGTCCTGAAAATGTCCATCAGCTGAGAAGCTTCCTAGGGCTTTGCACCTACTATAGGAGATTCGTGAAAGACTTTTCTTCCATTGCGAGACCCCTTCACAAGCTGACGGAGAACAAGCAAAGGTTCTTGTGGACAAAAGAATGCGAGGATGCATTTAACAACTTGAAAGAAGCTTTAACATCTGCTCCAATCCTGACGTATCCTCAGCTCGACAGACCCTTTATTCTCGACACGGACGCGAGCAATGAAAGTGTCGGTGCTGTTTTGTCCCAAGAAATAGACGGCCAAGAACATGTAGTAGCGAACTGGAGCAAGTGCCTGTCTAAACCGGAGAGGAATTACTCTGTCACCAGGAAAGAGTTGCTCGCCATAGTCAAAGCCGTAGAGCATTTCCATCATTATCTATACGGCAGAAAATTCCTGCTCCGTACAGACCATGCATCATTGGCCTGGCTTTTAAATTTCAAGAATCCTGAGGGTCAAATAGTCAGATGGATAAAGAGACTCCAGGAATATGACATCACTATCCGTCATTGTAAGGGATCATCACACGGGAACGCCGATGCCCTGTCTAGAAGACCTCGCCCAGAGATATGCCGATGTTGTTCCAGGGTGGAAGCGAAATACGAACTCCCGAGTCCAGTCGCATAACAAATTACAACATCAACATCGACTGATCGAGACCCATGGAGTAATGACGAAGTCAGGAAAGACCAGCAGGAAGGCCGTGACATTAAAAACATAATCGATTTAATGGAGTCATCAAACAGAACACCTACATGGCAGGACATTTCTATCTATAGTCCAACAACAAAACAATAGTGGGCACCCTGGGATTCACTTCACATTCAAAACGGTGTCTTATATCGGAAATTCGAATCGGATGATGGGAAGACGTTCCAATAGCAACTGATACTTCCAAGATCCCGGATTCCCGATGTTCTTAAAGAACTACATAACAGCCCTACAGGAGGTCACTTTGGAATAATAAAGACCTTGTCTCCTTCGTGGACGGTTGCAAAGAGTTTGTGAGCGCTTTTATTGGAATAATGCACAAGATGACGTGCAAAAGTGGTGTCGATCTTACGATGCCTGTGCAGGTTGGAAAGGACCAAGGAAACGCAGCTGAGGCAAGCTGCAACGTTACAACGTAGGTGCGCCTTTTGAACGTATCGCCTTTGATATCTTGGGACCTCTGCCGCTGATGGCAACAAATACATCCTCGTTGTCACTGATTACTTCACCAAGTGGCCTGAAGAAGATCCTGATCAAGAGGCTGTCACAGTAGTTGAGGTGATGATACAGCACTGGATTTCCAGGTTCGGAGTGCCTCTTCAGTTATATTCTGATCAAAGAAGGAATTTTACGTCGGCAGTAATCAAATAACTGCATTGACAAAACCCAAACGACGCCATTACATCCCCAGTCGGACGGCATGGTAGAGAGATTCAATCGAACCATCCTTTATAACCTCTCATTTGTGGTTTCCAGAAACCAACAGGACTGGGACAAGAAATTAAGGCTGTTTTTACTGGCTTAACGTAGTGCTGTTCACAAGATTACCGGCTATTCCCCATCACAGATGCTCTTCGGTCATGAACTTTGTCTGCCTTGTGATCTCTTGTTTGGTCGCCCTCCGGATGCTCCTTCATTGCCTGAGGAATATATTCAAGATCTCCAGGCCTGGTTTGAAGTGATTCACAACTTTGCATGAGAACGAGTCAACTTGGCGACGAAGAAGATTAAAACCTGATATGACACAAGAGCTATTGAACATCAATTCCACGAAGGAGACAAGGTGTGGTTGTTGAATCCAACTCAACGGAAGGGACTCTGTCCAAAATTACAGTCACCTTGGGATGATGCGTACACAGTCCTAAACAGGCTGAATGACGTCGTGGTTCGGATCCGTAAGTCTTCAAACTCTAAACCTAAAGTCGTTCATTAAGACAGGTTAGCTCATTACTATGGCCATAGTACGTAGTGTAAGTAATTGTAAATAGTGTAAGACCATGGTCCTTTTTGTTTCTAAATGTGTATTTTGTATTTGATTTGTATTCAGCATTTGATTTGTTTAAAGTTAGTTATTGCATTTATTGTTCATGTTGTTTGTTACTGTAATGCTTAGTATTGCATTTATGCCTTTAGTTGTAAGTTTGGCTTCCTGTCCAGGGATTGTACTGCCCGGGACGTGCAGTCCTTGGGATGGCGGCAGTGCTACGGATTTGGTATTTAAATAGCTAATGTTAGTTGAATTATAAATTAAATTGTTTTATTTTCCATGCAGTGCAGCACGTGACGAATATTAAAGGAAAGCTAAGCCAGAAAATTAAAAATACAAGAGCATGTGCATTTAACATTTTAGTAAATAAATATCTCTTTTGATTTCGAGAAAGTTCCAGAAGATTCTCGCGCACGATTTAAAATCTTATAAAAGGAGGAAAACCTCTCAATTCAGTTAGTAGTTAGTTTAGTTTGTTGTTGTTTTAAGAGTTTGTTTAGAAAACTGCTCTTGTTTACTGTAGCGAATTTGCAGATTAGCTTTCTCTAGCTGTTTTGAATTGAGTTCTGTTGAACGTTTGAGTAGTTAAGAGATAACTACTGCGAGATAGTGTAATACTTTACGAATATCTAAGGGAATTTAAGCATTTATGATAATAATAAATTTTTGTTCATTTTTAATCGGACTTGTGCATTCATTTCAAAACGAACTCGTACGCACGCAACAATGTTATAGTGTCAAACTGAACATTATTTAAGTGAAATCTTTCTCAAAGTATGTAGCAACAAAAGCAAATTATAGAAACAAAATGCAGAACATGAAATGTGACTGCAGATCATTTCAATACAGATGCCCTTTGATAGTTTTATATAAAAAAAGGAATGCACACACCACTCATTAAATATAATGCAAAGGTAGATGACACCTCTAGAGTAAGTTAATGCTATTAATGGGTTAATGACATTAATGTTGTTTTGATAAAAAAAATACAATGCCTTCCTGTAACTGTCTTTAAAAAGTACCTATAACATATTGATCTACTTTAAATATTATTTTAAGATATTTTTTCTGAAGGTGGTGTCGGGTTCCTAAAAAAACTTATGGTTCTAAGGGTTCAGCGAGTCGACAAAGTTTGAAGACCACCCTGTACATCACTTATTAACATGTCTGTATTTATGTATGTTAAACAAGTATCACGTTTAATATAGTGTTCACTATTATCTGTGGTCTAACGTATCAATAGTAAACCTTGGAGCATATTTATCCACAACTATGGGAGCACAATTATATATGCATTATGCAGCTGTTATAAATGCTGACAACTGCTGTGCTTTACAGGTTCATACTTGGTTTTAATATCTTTTTTAAGCCACGTAAAGGTATTCAATACTTTTTGAATATCTTATACGAAACCAGACTGTGATTAAACTATAAACATAACAATTTTTTGTGAAAAATGCAATAATTAGCATGCTGATTTCTAGTACATTCATAAATATGACCTCTCGATGAAAAAAATATTCCATCCGCTTGACTAAATGCATGCAGAATAAACAATATAAAACTTACAAGATTCATTCCATATTCAGCAATAGTAGCAGAGTATAATGGATATTGCGGTATAGGAACCATGATTCCGGGAGGCTTTCCATTAGTAGAATAATTTAGCAGACTCAGCACGCTCTAAAAAACAAAATTAAAATGTTAGAACCACATAGACAAACTAAAAAATGAACACCAATAATAACAACAACTTGCCTTTACAGCTTCACTAGCACCAGTACTTAATATAATGTCCAAATAATTGGATGGAATACCATCACGTCTTTCTATGTAGTTGGCAACATGCTTCTTAATTATTTCTACACCTGTACTATCACTGTAAGAACCTAAAATTACAATGCTACATTAATACACACTCAAACTGACATTTAAATAACATTGCTTAGAATTATCCACATTTAAAATAATATACACTATGTAAAGTATACTACTCTTAATGTTATTACTTAACATTAAAAATAACTTGATTAGACTTGATTGACGTAAAGGCACCATTAACATTTAGAAACTTTTAAAGCAATATATGCTGTTTCCTTCAAGAAAACGGTTCTTTAAAATTCACTTGTCAAATGTGAATAAAGTCTCAGAATTTCATTTTTTATGAACCTCATGAAGTAAGGAAAAGTTTCAGATTGAATCTGAGACAGGGCTTGAATTCGGATGGAGTCCAGCTCTAGTACTTCCGAGTTTTTTTTAATGAAGTTGTAATTTCAGATGGAACTGCAAATATGATAAGCTCTGATATTTATTTATCTCTTCATAATCCATTTAGCTTTAACAATTAATTATTTGTAATTTTGTTTCAGCTTCTATGGCTCTGCCACTTCCAATTCTATGAATTAAGCCTTGACCTGAGATATTCAAAATCACCCTATAAATCTGTATAAAGCTATACAAACAAGTTGCTCCAAATGTAGCCAAATTTAATGATGTATTTAAGAGTTAATTTTGATAAAAGAAAATTCTATGTATTGTCAACAGATGGCAATGACCATTGCACTGGATTTCTGACGTCAGAATTACGGGATGGCAGAATTCTCGCCGATGTCGAAATGGAATTTTTGGCCAAAGAGAGCTGAAGCTAATGACTGATTTAACCATAGCAACAGCCTATTAGGATTTAAATGTGAAACCTTGAGCTGAACATCATCTGGAATATAGAGTAAAAAAAAAAAAAAAAAAGAGAGGCTTCTGTAGAGGGTCTACAGGTTTTATTCAAAGAAAAAAGAAAATACATTCATTGGGTAGAGTAGACTACAATTAAGGTACCCCTTGTATTATCGTCAAGTTGTTGTGGTAGCCTGAGTAGTTGAATGTTATGGAAACCCTATTGTGACATAATCGGGTGTATGCTTCTGGGAAATTTTGAATCATGAGATGTTTTGTGAGCGTTTTTGTGGTGTGTGGTTTTTTTCTTAAGTAGTAGATTAATTTGAAGTTTTCTACGTTTCGAAAGGGGAAAAGAGTTAATTTGACTGGTGTATAAATTAAGGTTTACTTAGTAGCATTATAAGTGCCTGTATGTAGGAAGGACAATCGTCTAGTCGAACGTAAAAACAGTTTAGATGGATTGTAGGAAGAAAGTTCAGATGGTCATTATTGAAGCGTTCGATCAGAAAGAGTACCTGGTTTGAAAGAAAGTCATTTGAGTAAGATTGATTTTGATTTCACGTGGCTCTGGGTACGAAGCGAACTCAAAAATCATGGTAAGTGAATATTTGCTTTTGGTAGTGCTTATATGTATAACATGTTTTCCTTTTTTTTATGTTATTTTATTGTTTGGTTTAAAATTTATTTTATTGAGATTATGTGTTTTTTGTTTGCCTATATCGTAGAATTTGGTGCTCCTTTGACTTTTTAAAGTGAAAATATATTGATGTGTACGTGGACACATTAAAGGAAGTGAGCATGTGCTATTCTGGGATTTTTTTTAAGTGAAAATAGGTCGACGTGTACATGGATAAAGTTAAAAGAGTGCACAATGCAATTTTTGTGCAATTTGGGGATTTTTTTTAAGTGAAAATAGGTCGACGCGTACATGGATAAAATCAAAGGAGTGCGCAATGACATTTTTGTGCAATTCGGGGATTTTTTTTTTAAAGTGAAAATAAGTCAATGTGTACATGGATACAGAGTTTGTGCAATTGTTTGTCTTGTTATTTTGGCTTTCTGTAGCGGCGATTTTTGGCACAAAAATCACTGCTTCGCAAGCCAAAATAACGAGTCAAAGAATTGCACAAATCGCTATCCATGCACCGCCAAAAATCACCAAGTTTCGCCAAGAGGTACCCTAAACTATACTTTTACCCATTCATTTAGTAGTGATAGTTTTAAAGAAAATATTACCATTCACGTGTGCAATGTTAAGCTCTGCAATGAATTAATACTTTCTGTTTGTTCATTACCTTTTATAGATTTAGTAAATTTCAGTTGAAATATTTAAAGATGCTGATTTAAGCTCTATGATAACCGTTATTAATAATCAAAACTACCTTTTTATCTTCCCCCCTCCTCCCTAGAGAGCAAGTGTTACATTGGTAATATTTACATTGGTAATATTTTTATTCTTCTCTTGTATAGGAATTTTAATCTAATAAGCATTGGACATAAAATTTTTACCACATAAAGAAAAAGAGGTAGGAGTGCTAATATATATATATATATATATATATAGCTCAATCATATTATAGTTAAACTTCTTGTGTAATTATCTCTTTTAAATAGTCGTCTCCATAGAAAACCAATTCTTTTGGAAATGTAGATTATCTTAAAGGTATATTCTATTCTGTAAATTTCTTCAATTTAAATGATAAATCAGAGATTGAAGATGATATTTTCATCATCCTCACAATAAAATATTATATGTATCTGTATTATGTCATATCTGATCAATGGTATAGTTAGAATGCCTGGGACAGAGTTTGCCTGCTTGGGCAGTCTTTGAGTTTATCATTCCTATTGATATAAGAAAATAACTCTAAGGAATGTAAAAATCACATAGAGGAAAATAAATTTAAAATCTACTTTTATTTCTGAGGAAAAAAATTTAATTCCATCATTTTAAAATTGTATTATTATTATCATCATTTCTTTGTAAAACCACCTATTACAAAGAGGTCTACTTGATTCCTCTATTTGCTTTATACTGATAGTACAGATCTATTCAAAAATACAAAATTAAACATTTGTAGTTCTAAAATGATTTTTTATTTAAAAACTAAAAACATTTTTAAGATTGTGAGAAAAGTTTACAAGCAGTATTACATTATTTGAAACTTTCATATATTAATATAAATTGCAAAATGTCAATAGGACTGCCTTTTCACATTCTTGATTAATTTTCTTTAGCAATAATCATAGAAATAAAATTTTGAAACACTTCTCTCTTACTATGGAATTTTTCCTTATTAGCCTTTTGATGGTCCATAATGAGCTCAAATGCCCACCAGCAGCTGAACAATAACATCACTGAGCACTGGTCAGTCCACTCGGCGAACAGGTTGGCTGCATGACATTGTCGTGGTTTTCCCCAAGTGTAACATGTAAATGAGCCACTTTCGCTTAGAAAGTTCTTCACTCCCCCTTTAGGTAGATAGCTCTTGAGTAATTTCCCATAATTAAATTAAATAAACCAACAAACTCAGCTCCTATTCCAGTTACACACTGCAGTGGGCACAAACAAATGCAGCTCACATCACAAATTTACAACTGACAGATATTGTGCATATCTGGGAAGAAAGAATTACTTAATTTCACAACCCCTCAAGGTTTAATGTCACGGAGATCATAATTTAGTTGATATTCACAATTTTCAAGTTTTGAAGAAATAAAAATGGTATTAGAGTGCATAGCTATTGAAATCTCATGGTGATTTCTTTGTATATCTGATTAACAAAAAAATTAATTTTTCTTCTTAAATAAAATCCATATGGCAACTCAAAATCTTATTCTTCTTCATCTGCCTGAATAATTCACAGGACTAACTCTATCAACTATTATTTCACATGAAAATGCCACCTCCAAAAACGTGTCATCCAGGACAGATCATACACTCTAGCTACACCACTGTGTTTGACATCACAAGTATTAAAAGAAATGAAGATGAAATTTGCATATAATATAAAAAGCATTAATTAAAATTTATAAGAAAAATACAAAGAAAATGGAAGCAATTTATCTGAATAAAAATATGTGCCTGTAAATTATAAGACATGTGAATACACTGTAAATTTAAGCTTTCATTTCTGCATTTCAGCTCTTTATTAGTACTTGGAAGTAGTAGGTCTTACTATTTTCATCCAAACAGGAAAATTAAATTTCAATTGTTTTCAAAATAGGAAGTGTTGCTAAGCCACATGCTATTATACCTATAATCAGAAACTAGCTGACTGATTATCCATGGATATGCGATACATATCAACTTATGTACCATAAAGCATTAAGTTTCAATGTTGCAAACCATTCTAATTTTTACATATATTAAAACAATTTTTAAGATCAATCAGTAGCTCATGATAAAATTGCTGAAAACAGATCAACTCCAGTTCAAATCCTGGCGAGTGAGCTGTCTGCAAGGGAGTTGTGTGGTTTTCCATAATGGATATGAACTATTCTCCTTAGAAGGACGACATGAAAAATTATACGTATTTATAGCTTATAAAGTGCAAAAATACCACCAGGAACTCTTTTAGTGAAGCTGGTAACTTTAGCAAAATCTGACTCCCTTTATGAATAAAAAGAGATATTAAAATAAATACAACATAATGCTTTATATATGATGGACTTTTTGCAAGTATAAATGAGAAAAATTCAGTACTGAAATTGTTACGAAATTTGCCCAAGTATCCAGAATTTTTACATTTTTAATTTTTTGGCAAGTGGCAACAGTTATTGCACCAACCAACTTCTCTATTAGATAAATCTCCAATTTCTGTAATAGGAAGAACTGATAATGCACATTCAGATAATCAAGTATACTGTACATATTTTAATAATATTTTGTTCGTTGAATCTTAAATACCATTCGGAAGCTATTTTTATTAATTCAAGTGACCATTTAACACAAGAAACAAAATACAAATAATTTAAAAAAAATTTTTTTTTTTTTTTTTTAAAGGACCGACGAGATTTTTTTTTTTTGTCCTTGTCTTTAGTAGGACCATAACTAAGAATTTATCTTGCCTATAGCTAGTATTCTTTAGTAATATACACTACTTTAAATTTCCTTTCCATTATTTTAGTAGACGATTTAAAAAACTTGAAAATGAAACATCAAAAAATGATATTAAAAATTACGATTTTTGTGACATTACAAGAGGTACCTTTATTTAAAAATATGTAGTTTATTTATTTCTTTATATTCTTATTATATTATATTTCTTGCCATATACATCTACAGTTATTGGTTACCACTGTGGATTTCAAGCTGGAAAATCTACTATTAATCAAATTCATTCTGTTAGACAAATTTTGGAAAAAAAAAAACAACTAAACATAATATTTTCCATCTTTTTACAGATTTTAAAGCTGTTTATTATAGCATATACTGTGAAAAGCTGTTTGAAGTTACGCTGGAATTCAGATTTCCTAGAAAATTGATTGATCTATCTAAAATGACATTAAAGAGAGCACATTGCGGAGCTAAAATCATATCTCAGCTATCAGAGGCATTCTTACCGAGAGGGCGTTGAGACAAGTGATGCCCTTGCATGCATATTTTTAATATTGCCCTTGTAAAGAATTAAATTATAACTACAGTCACCATATTTCAAAGATCTATATAGTTACTAGAGTACACTGATGACATCGAAATTATTGGCAGAAGTAAACAGGTGATTGTGGAGATTTATCTCCCTAGAGTCTAGGGAGAGAAGTCTTCAAAAATTAACTCCAGAAGTTCTTTGTTTCAATAATGTACAATGACTGAACAGGCTGCAAACGTTTTACACAATTTTTACACCAAATGGCACATTTATACTTAATCCTCTTCCCAAGATATAAAGTTGCTTTCTTATCTCCCTGCATATAGGTACATATAGTTAAATACTTACGGTTCTTTTGAAGCCCCTCTCTTATCAGAGGCCTAAAGTGGTTCACCCCCTTGGTAAGGCACTGCCCTGTGGGCATTTATTAACCCTTTGCCCTTGTTTGATCAAGACAATTTTTGTCAGTACATAATACATTATAATTTAAAGTATTTTACTTTCTTTAATATAAATATCATCTTAATGAATACTAAAGTAAGTGATTATGAAAATTTACTTTACAGAAACAGTTTAAAGAGAAGTCTTCGTGAACAGGTTAAAAAAGGCAGTGCTACTTACAGGGTTAAATTGTACACAGTTCATTTATTAAACATTTGCAAGATGAATCCAATATCCAGAGGACATTTTGTACCTGAGATGGAAATACTTCACTTGAGCTTTGTTTGATGTAGGTTTTTTCTAAAGAATTGATTTTCACATAAGCAACCAATCAGATATCCTGAGAACAAAGATTCCCCAAAATGTTTCTCTCAATGTGCACGCAGGAATAGTTTTCAGGTCTGATAATAGCTTAAGGTTGAGCAGGCACAAGGATGCTTGCCAAACAGATGACATTTTTACAGCATAAAATACAATCTAATGATTCATAGAGATACACGAGATACAAATGAGCTTGCAAATAATCATAATAAGTAGATGGGAAAAAGAGACTCCAATAGCTTCAGGAAACTCAAACACAAGTACCCAACATACCCTCCCATGACTTAACTAACAGGTGTCTCCTTGTATATAACAGCTTGCTTTTTATTTATACAGATATTTTGTGAAGTAGCTTCTATATATTTCTTAACTAAACAGGTGTGTAAAGAAGGCTCAAAAGAGATGCTTCCTTTACAAGGTTATCTAAATTTTTATTTCCAAGCAAGCCACAATGGCTAGTAATCCACTGAAGAGCTAGTTCTTTATCAAAAGATAAGAGAATGTCAATAATTACTTAAGAATCATATACAGGGCTGACAGATGAAAACTGTTAACTTGTAATGGTTGGGACCACAACTTCAGAATCTTTATACCTTAACACCTTTATAAAACAAGATTCCAAATGTTCTCATCATTTGAAAATCTAACATACAAGATATGACATTTAAACATTATTGAATAAATATGATATTAGTATAGTTAAATGGAAATAAGTCACAGATAAATGCATTATGTAACACAAAAAGTTAAATCTAGAATACTTTCTATTGATAGCAGAAGAGATGTGAATATTGTATTCATCTGAAAATAATCCTCTTTACATTTTAGGGAAAGAATATGACTGAATATTTAACTCTCTGAATGGCACAGGTCTGTATTTTGGATTTGTCATGAAGACCTGTATTCATGCAGCATTTATTAGCTAAATTTATATAATTACTTATTTAGTCTTATTTTATAAACTTGATCATTAAGATACATTTACATTTTAAATTAAAAAGTCCACAAAAAAATCTTAAGTCATAACTATATGCTCAAGCAACAAATCCTATGACTGGATAAAGCCAGTCATGCTGCTCAGAGGGTTAATGATAGCATGTTACAGCAATGAAAGGCAAGCTACCTAATAAAATGCAATATTTTACTATGGTACTGGAAAAAGAAAAAGAAAAAAAAAAAAAAAAAACCAGAAAAAGTTAGTGATACAATGTTACCTATTTGTTTTCATACCAGTGACCAATATTGTGCATGCAGGTCTAAATTTAAAGAGATCGCTCAGCTAGACATTATTACTCCAATTATTGAAGTTATGCTGCAGCTGATGTACACAATAATTATTTGCATGGTTTATTTTATTAATATTTGAATAGTATTTCTTTACTATTTGAATCTGCAGTTTCATTCATCAAAATACTTCTCTACAAGACTACCAAATTTTAAAACAAAACTATAACAAAAAAGGTATTTTGCAAGCAAATACAGTATATTCTCTTATAACACACAAATCATCCAAAAGTAACTTAAATCTTAATCTGATCGTAATTAACACACAACATATTAAAATTCAGCATAAGTTTAAATGTGTTTCCAATAGATATACCAATTCAAGAGTGTAAAACAATACAAACCAACACTTTCCCCTCCACAGCCTTTTAAAATTTCTTGGGCTCTTTTTTTCACATCATCTGGAAATTGTTCATCTTGCATCAAAGCAGGATAAACACACAAGGCTAACACCTAATATCAATTTAAGAAAAAAAAATATACATGTAAATATCCATCTGAAGACAATACTGAAATTTATGAAAACTATCTGAATTTTATGTAAAATTTATTACCTGTCTTAGAAAGGTCAAAGGCTTCTGACCCATTGCATGACAGTCTCCAATGTTAGCTCTGATAACATCAGTAAAAGGTTTCTTTACACCCTGTCAAAAAAAATTAAATCAGTTGTATGAAATTTCTTTTTATTTGCCAAGTTTAAGTTTTTATTTTTAGATTTGTAAAAATACACATGCATTAATTAGTGGAGAAGAAAAATTTTAAATAAACAATTTTCTTTTACTAATTTTTAAATGCATAATCAGAAATGCTTTCATTTTAAAAGAAAGGCCTCTTTTAACTTTATTCACAGTTTTTAGTATACTTAACATACTACTATACTTAACTTGTCCGCTATATAGGAATATAATACAAAAATCCTCGTATTTCTAAATTAATTTACTCCTTCCTTCTTTCAAGGATAGTTCCGATTTGACAAATACGCAAATTGTTTATTTCAAGTGCTATAACAGTCAGTATTGAGAAGTGTGAAGGGAAAAACAACATATACTACATACCAGAATGGTTCATAATTATAAAAATAAAAAAATTCTTTAACAGGAGATCAATTAAGTACCACCGAAAATTAGATAATAAATTCATACAAATATTATTATGTCAAAAGTACTAACAAGAATTAAAAAAAAAAAAAAAAAAAAAACCAGAAACTTCTTTAAGTTATATATCATTTCTGTTAAAAACTTGATTTACAATATTCGGTTAGATGTTTAATTATGGCAAAATGCAAAATCTAAGAAAAATAAACCGTTTCAAAATAAATTATACTTCATTACATTTTAAAGAAGAAAAATTTGAGTAAATAAGGACAATTAAAGTTAAGTTTTTTCCAGTCTATGATAATTTTCCAGTCTAAAATTTTTCCCTCCTACTAGCAAAATTTTGGAAGAATATATTAACCGTTATAACTATATTAATTAAGTATTCATAATATTAAAAAAAAATATTTTAAACAAGGCTCAGGAATTGATGCCATGAACAGGTGGCATGAAACAAAATTACTTATAAGGATTTAAGAGCGGTGAAAAAATTAACCACCTGACACTTTTAAAAGTATATTGAAAGAACATTGCATATGCTTATGCATAATTTATATTTATTTGTAATTTTAAACAACATAATTTATGAATGTATTTCAGGGTCATATGCTTTATGTTAGTCCATACCTTTTCTAGCTCTTTTTCAATTTCAGCTGCTCGAATAACCAAAGGACCTCGTACTGCATACTCCATGCGTTTAATATTTGGATTCATATTACCCAGTGTTACAGTTTTCGCACTCATCTTGCTCGTCGCTGTACACAAAGCAGCTGAAAGTCTGAGAGAGAAACAACCGTGCACTTTTGTTTTGGTAGACTCTGCCAAGTCCTCACACACATGCGCAATAAAAATGCCGAGCCTGCGCCGTAAGAGAAACGTATCCATGCTACTTTTTGCAAACATAGCGAACTAACACCCTTTTCAAATTCCAGCAATTTTGGAAAAACTGGCATATAAAGATGTATGTCAGCTTAGAAATGTAATCACCTATACCTAAATACTCAAACTATATCCGAAATACAAACAGCAGCAGGCCAGGTTACGTTGAGTTTCCGGCAGTACTACTAGATAAAGCAAGTATACTGGAGAAAATAGAAGTAGCTCTTTAACCAGTCAGTCTTTTTCTCGATGAATCACTGATAAGTTAAACCATTCAGCAATGCGGTAATTCAGTTTTAGAATGCCACAAGTTTATATTATTAATTCGTAGTCAATATAGAACGTTCTGATAGAAGACCCACAGCACAACGCAGTAACTTTTCCTCATAGACACAAATAGATATTAAAAGACGCCTGAGTGTCTGCTACAAGCAGATCGCAGCGCTACAGATTTTTCTTTTTGGCGAACTGATTGGGTTGGCAGTCGGCACGAAGCGATCCCCGCTGTCGCGCGCAGTTCATCGTTTGCTTCTTTATTTGTTACGAAATCTATTAGATAAGGCGCGTGAAAAAAAAAAAAAAAATTAATTCGAATTCATATTGCAAATATCCTTTTATCTGAGTTTAATTTTTCACTCAGCAGGAAATTTACACTGTAAAATGTTATGCAACGTATCATTACGAAAAGCAATTAATGTGATTAAAAGTTTAATTATAGAAGGAGAAGAAAAATGTTTTTCCTTGATTTTTGAAGTGTCTGTCTGGGGATATTCTGTTTAGAAGATAAGGAGCTAGAAAATTTTATCTATTAATTCTTTTTTTTTTTTTTTTTTTTTTTTTTTGACAGCATGCTTTGCGATGAAATCAAACAATAACGAAAAGAGAGAGTCGTATCTGCCTTGAGAGGATCGCGGAAAATATTTAATAGCCAGCATTTTGAGGTTTTGTTTTTAATTAGTAGTTTATATTTGAGTTTTCGGCAACATAGAAAAATGCTACTTTGTTCGCGCTTTCGTGTGTTACGTATGAATAATCTTATTTATACTATCTACTACAAAATTTATCATTCATAATCATTTTAGTCTAGGCATATTATAATTTATAATTTAATATAATATTTAATAAACCACAAAAACAATCTTTCGCAATTGTGTCAGTGGCATATTTATGAAATTAGGGAACCATCTCTCATGAATTTTTAGAAATCTGCTTGTCTTAATTAATAAAGTATATTTGCTGTTTTTAATTATTATTTAGTGATTTAGAAGTCCTTTAGAGGACGGGATTCTTCACGATTGTGATATGCGCAACCTCGTCTACTACCTCTGCGGGAGATTTCGTAAAAATTATTAGTGCACCAAGAAAGATTGAAAAATTTTATTTTTACGAATAACTAGGCAATCACAGCTCTTATGTAAATAATATATACTTTTAAAGGTACTTGCATATCATACACTGCTTCAGTGTTATATAAAATTTTTTTAAGGAATTACGTTGATTCCTTTCAAAACAGAAAGGCATCTTCTTTTTTAAGTAAGAATGGGAAACCTTATTAATAATATGTTGTGGACACCATATGACTTCCTTGTATGGCCTATTAAATTCTACACATTTTTTGCTAAACTGTGTTTAGACTTATTTCTTCCAATTATTCTAACCGATCCCTCAAGGCAAGTTGAAAATGATATCTAGTAGTCGCAAATTTTGAAATTAAATATCCCGGTCAATTTTTGCGTACGGGAGTAGCGCATCTTATAATTTCATTTTTTCATAACGAATATAAAGCCTTCCCAAGTACAGGAATTGGGAGACTGCATTAAAAGTTAGATTTCGTTATTTGTCCTTTTTTTTTTTTTTTGTTTGTTTGTTTAGAATTTGACATGCCAAATAAGATATTTTCTATTTAACATTCTATAACTGGAGGTATATAACTATTATATTGATTGCGAAATAAAAGCCGCCAAGGGTAGGTATGATTCTATATAATATCTATTAAAATAATAAGGGTAAATAATTAAATTTAAAAATGCTTTTTGCGCCATTTTCTGCAAGATGAAATTTGAATTTACAAATTTCTCTTTCTATCAGCTAATTTAAAAGATAATAAATAATTTAAATTAAAATTTTAATTGCATACAAATAAAAGATTATTATTTTGCGATGAATTTTAAAATAACATTAAAAATTCTGAGGCATATGTAATGAAGTGCAATACTAAAACCATAAGGAAGATATATCCAAAATTAATCCCCAAAATTAAAAAAAAAAAAAATTTTAAATAAATAATTTGCATAAGTGAATAATTGTTGGGCAGGCAGCAGACAGATCTTATCAAAGGGAAGCCTCCAACCCTAACTCCAAACCTAACTCTTCATTTAAACTCAATTCGTGTTTCGTCACTATACCCATGCCTATATGTATGGCGAAACACGAATTGAGTAATTGGGGAGAAGAGGTTTGAAGGCAATTTTCCCTTGATAAGATCTGTTTCCTGCGTGCCCAACAATTATTCACTTATGCAAATTATTTAGTCTTAAAAATTTTTAAAAGTTTTTGGGGATTAGTTTTTTGGAATATTATATAGTATTTTTTCATGATTTTAGATACTTGCATTTAATTTACATATGCTCTCAGAATTTAAATGATATTGTAAATTAATTCGCAGTAATAATTAATCTTTTATTTGTAGCAATTAAAATTTCATAATTTAAATTTAATTTTATTCGAACAAGA